CTTTTTCCAAAATATCAGTAATTCTTTAAAATAATAATTCATTTTCTTATTTAATATCAGCCTCAATTTCTTCTTATTAAGCTTTGAGTTCAAATTTTAAAAATTCTATATCATTATTTTTAGGTCTATTAGCTAATTATTATTCTAATTTTTCATATTATTTAAAAAAAGAATAAATCTCTTCCTTCCATTATTTATGTTAATCATCAAATATTCTCTTGATTTTTAAAGGTTAATGTTTAAAACAATAAATATTATCAGATTCCATATAAATTTAAGATCTTCTAGCACATTCAGGATGAAATGATATAGTACATTTAGATTTTGAACAAGATACACATGCTCCATTTTTTTTCTATTTACATATACTACATAAAGTATTAAATTTTCTTTTATCAATTTTTGTTAGATCAAAATCTAACCATAAAGAACAAGAAACATGAGTCCATATCTTTTCAGCTTTTGGTGATTCCCCAGACATATTTTCAAGTTGATATTATATTATCATAAAATTATAATTGTCTTCACCATCAGGAGGAGGTTCTAAAATAAATCTATTTAATTACTTTGTCTATCAACTTTAGAATTGATAGCATATGTATGAAAAGAAGGATTAATTAATTCAAATATAGAATCTTTCATTGCAATATTAGTTGGTCTCATAGCTCCACCTAATTTTGGACAAAGAGGACATTTCAAAAACTTTCCTTTATTACCAAAATTCAAACAAACATCACAAATCCAATTATTTAATACATTTTCTAATCCATAACATTTTTAATGAACTACTATTTAACATTTCTAACAAGATGTAAGTGGATCTTCTGATTTAACACCTTGATTACAAATCTAACAATTATTATAAACATTTTATAATTTTCTTGCTGTTCCTGCTAAATTAGATGATTTTGTTTAATTAATAATTGATTCATCATAATATCTATATATGAATATATATAAATTACTTTTGTTAACTTTCAAGATAGATAAGATATTGGTTCTCAATATCTGTTAAACCAACAAGATCTTTGAGAGTGTAATCAGAAGGATTTTGAATATTCAAAGTAGGCTTTTCTATTTGTATTGTATCTATTTGAGTATTTACTTGGAGTTAGGTATCGAGTAATTGTTGTTCTAGTTCAGTCTACAATAATTCCAAATCATTTTTGGGTTATAATTCTTTTAACCATCTATCTTAGATTATAGTTTACTATGTTTCTCATCTCCATAATGAACCAATCGTCAAAGTAAGTGTACGGACGAGTAGTTTCTTCTTGAACTTGTTGGCATTCCTAATTGATTCTAAAGTGTAAAGAGTGTTGAATACTTGATAATTTTAGGATCAGCACCTTTTTGGAAGTATTGGGAACATATAATAAACCAGTAAGTAATTGGAGTCAAGTGCTTGATAGGAGTGATTTTTGATGATGGTTCCACCCAGTTAATGTCATTTAATCGTTAAACTATTTCAAATAATTATTAGTAAGTTTTCCCATTATTAGCTGGATTTTAGAGAATTGGTTTGTCTTCCTATTCTTATGGTATAGGATCTAAAATGTATTACTCCTCTATTTTCTCTCTGTTTTACATATCATCGTAGGAAGGAAACATCAACTATTCAAAATTATCGAAGCTGTTGTCCACAGACATTTTAAATTAAAAAAATAAATATCTTTATTTTCATTCCATTTATATATTTAATTATCCCCATACTTCTTAATCATTTCCATTGATTTCAATTCAATATTCTTCAGCCATAAATACTACCCAATTTCCTATTAATTATAATTACAATCAATAACACATTCTCTAAAATAAATGTGTAATTCCTTCAAATCACATAAATTACTATCCCATACTAAAATTTACTAATCCAACATCAAACACACTTCAAATTTACCTTCTCTTTCAAGTCTATATTATTTTCTCTCTAAAATCATTGTGTAATCCATACTAATCAATGTGAATTGACTATTAATTGACTATCCATAATCTAAAATCCACTAATTACAAAATTACATCATCCAAATTATCTATTCTATACACTATTTATTGTAATATTACCTAAAACAACTTAATGTTTTGAAATCAATTCCAATAGAATCAGATCCTTACTAATATTATTGAATTATCTTATGAACACTAAAATAGAATGATCAAATGTATGAGTTTCATTACAAAGTAATAAAACTATAAGGAGAATTCAATCAAATTTATTCCCTTAATAATATACAATACAAATAGATAAATATATAGTAATAACAATATGACACTTTAAAAAGGAGTATATAATACCATTATAGACAATAATTTAAACATATTTATTATGAAAATAATTATATATATGTATTGTTAATGAGTTATATAATAATTCTTATAATAGTAATGAACAACAATAATAGTTATAAAATTTGATCATATAATTAAGAATATAAGTTTGATGTAAAAAAATAAATAAATATTTATTATTATTAAAAATCAAATGCATTGCGATTCATCTGATGAAGATGATAGTAAATTTGGCATAGGAAAGAAATTTTTCATTTAATTATTAGAGAAAGAAAGAAAAGTAAAGTGCATTCTTTAATTCAGTTTAGCACAAAGATTGAATCAATGTAATAAATTTTGGATTTACTCAATATGTATGCCATGTGTGTTGAATTCTTTGATACTGTAGGTAATCCTGCCAAGTATTATTTTATGGAAAAGATTTCAAATACAATTGCTGAGAAAGAAGCATTTGAAATAATGTTAAAAGATGAAATGTTAGCAAGAGAAAAAAGAGAGAAACAAATGTAAATCAAACCAATCATTAAGGAAGGTTTAGTTAAATATGATCCTTTGAAACGTCCAGAAAAACCACAAAAACCAAAATTATAGACACCTGTTAAAGAAGAAGAATAATAATAATAATAATAATAAGAGAATAATATAGAAAATAAGAAAATATCACATAAAATAATTAGAGAAGTTCGTTCGAAAAAATTAACAATGACAGAAAAAATATATTAATCTTAAAATGAATAAAAAGTCTAAGTTGATTTAATTAAACATTGGGATGATGAAGTAGAAAGAAAAGGTAATTATAATCATATATATTAGATAATATAATTAGATAATCATTATAATAATAAGGAGATAATATTTAAGATAGAGTTACTGATAGATTAAATAGATTACGTAAATAAATACCTAGTAATATCACAAGCGAAATATGTTTAGAAAAATATGATACATGATAAATATATAATATCATGTTCAATTCTCAGGTTTATGTGGTTTTGGCATATCATCACCTGGTATTTCAACATCTTCAAATTATCTTTTCTATTGATTCTCTCTTTGTTGTTATTTGATTTCTGATTAAGGTTATACCTTAGTTCTATTGAGTAATTCATCAGGATGAGTAGAAGTGAAATTTTTAAGATGAGAATGCTCACTATTCTTTAAATAGGTTCCTTCTTTATGTTTATCTCTACACATAAGATAAGTAGCATATAAATCAATTACATTAGTAATTATACAAAGGATGAAATTCAATAGTACATAATTATATACCTTGATTTCATACTCACTATAGAAATCACTCATCTCTTATAAAGAAAATCTATCAGAACAATCAGCATTAATGAAATCATAGAAGTGATTCATCATTTATTATTAATATCCCATATCAGCAGCCAAGATAATAGTACACAAAGTTTCACATATCAACTTAACTCCCAACCAGAATCCAAATAAGTCTTTATAATGTGAACTTTTTCTGTTCAAATTTGCATATTTAAAATTACAACCAACTAAAGATATTGCTGATACTAATGGAATTAAGAATCCAAATACTCCTGCTTAAATTCCCACTATTACTTAAGCAGCCAATTATACATCCATTACATTATCATTAATATATGCATTTAAATTGTAAATAAATTCTAGATCTTCTGCTTAACATAATTATGATGAATTATAATAAAATTGAGTTAGCTACTTGTAAAACAAATTAACATCTACTATTATTTTTATATTTTACTTCTGCTTTCAATAACTGCATTTTTATACAATTAATTATATTCTTCTTTTACTTCATTTACAAATAATAAATCATTATAAGACATATCATTTGTTAAACGTACATATCTCTCATCATTATCATAACAATGATAATTTATCATCTTATCTAAATACTAAAACTAATAAATTTCTGATGTTGAATAACATATTGAATCTAATAATATATTTACAATATTATTTACTAAATCCTATTGTAAATCCTATTAATGGTATTTCTTCCTTTTGAATTCTTTGAATTTTCAGATACAATCCAGTAGTTCCAATTGCCTCTCCAGTTGAATCTGCTGATATAGTAAAATCACTTATTGGACATTATTCATCAGATGGAACTTGATAAACATTTCCACATTTTTTATATCCTTCATCAGCATCTTCTATCTTGAATGCTTCTATTACTGTTGAAGTGCTCTATTTTGCACACAATTTAAAAGCTTAAGATAAATCATTTTAATTACCTTTAACCGAAGTTTAATCGATAAATGGCCAATGTTAGAATTACTATTCATATATTGGTTCAACTGGTTGGCAATTCTCAGCTAACATAAACTCACTGCATTCCATATAATAATAACTTTATATTTATTTTTTTTTTACTTAGAATATTTGTATGGACCTGTTCCATTCGATTAAGTACAATCACATCCAAGTTCTGTACCAGGCCATGTGAAATTTAACATATTTACATAACCTTCTTAACAGGTGTCTTAGATTTTTAAATCTTCTATAAACTTATTATCCCAATCTGAGTAAAATTGTGGTGCCTTGATTATATATCATTTTAACATACAGAATCCATGAGTATTGATTAATTGAACACCGAAACCAAAATGAGTCCAAAACTGATGAAAGTATAAATCACTATGCAACATTGATATCCTGCTACCCAAGGAGTTGCCTCGTAGGTGTTGAGTTTTTGCATAAATAAAAATAAAATGACAGATTAACTATTTGTCGGTTAATTGTAGCAGAAAGTAGGAGAATTGAAAACTGAGTATGATCTACAACGTAGTATCAAAGATAACACTATCAATGCCAAAATAGTATATATTAGGTTGATCTAATTAGTAACGTTCCAGAGATAAGATATGTGAAATCCTTAGAAGAGTTTAAGGAAAAAGACCAAAGATTTAAACTGAAGAAAGTGAAGAATCATTAGATGGCAACATTCCTGAAGAGAAAAAACCTTATTAAAGCAAATATAATGAAGAAGTTTTGTAAAGGAGACATTACATATTCTAATTCAAAATGTATTTACGTAGAAAAAGGTATGATTTTATTCATTTTACTAAAGAGAACGACTATAGAGAGAATAAGAATTCAAACTACTTAAATTATTGGACTAACAGACAGAGGCACTTTAAAAATGGGTCACCAAAGATCCAAATGATTTAGAAATGTTTGATTTCTTTTATACTCAAATAGATCCTCATCGTAAAGGATAGGTACATCATTTATAGATTAAAAACTTTATGTATGATAACCCATTAATAATGACACTCTTTTAATTTGATAGACAATCACTCTAAATGGCATTAGACTCTTTCCCTGTTAAAGAGAGATTTCATTTAAAACAAGATGAATTCATTTAATTTTTGTAAAAATATTAGAAGGTTAAACCAGAAAAAGGATTTAGAGAATATGTTCATTTATTTGATCCAATTCATAAATAAGTCAATTTATTTGAGAATAGTCCTCGTATCTTATTATTGCAAGACATATCAAATATAAAAGAAGCCTTTGATTCTGTAAGTGAGAATGGTTTGGCTACTGTTGATAATGCAATTAAAGCAATTCGTTAAAATTGTGAATTGTTTGTATATGCTGTTCATGTTGTTATTTTTGGTTTGAATTTACTATTGGAAAGTGTATTATAATAAATAGAAATTGGATACTTGAATAATCCTGATGAATAATTATCATGGAATTAGTTTATGTATTTTCTTGATAATCTTCCAAATGATCAAGAGGAAGAACCATAACCATAAGAGTAGGAACACTCTGTTTAATCTGAATCATCTGATGATTATTTCTATTAGATGACTGCAAAGTAAGAGATTCCTCCACCTCCAGAACCTGAAAAGAAGAAAGTAAGGAAACGATCAATTCCTAGAAAACCATTTCAAGAGATTAATGTGGAAAAGATGTAATTTACTGTACCTAAGAAGACTGGATAAGAGAAGAGAGATGTTAATAAGTAGCCTAGTATAAGGGAAAAATGGGTAATGGAATAAGTTAGATAAAAATAAGAGGAAATAGAGGAAGCTTATAAATTTAGACCATTTAAGGCAAAAGCAATACCATATAAGGTGAAGGATAAGAATTATTATAATGAATTGTTGGAAAGAGAAGAGATAAGAAGAAGAGAGTTAAAAGAAAGATGCAAAGAAAAGACTTAATAAATGCAAAAACCATTTAATTTTGAGGATAGAAAAAGAGAATTACCTATTAAATTATCTGAAGAAGATGAAGAACCATATAAATTTAGAGCAAATCCTATTCCTTGGTATTGTTCATTGAAATTATATGAACGTAATATTCAAGAGTAGAAAATTAGAAGTGAGAATAGAAAGAAGATTAGAAAGTTTTGGTTATAAGAGAATTCGAAATTGCCACCTCGTATGTAAGAATGGATTGAGAAGATGAAATTGCAAGAATAAGAGAAATAATAAGAATTATTGTTAAGATCTCATCATGATTCTCCTAGAAAAGTCAGAGCTAAATCTATTCCTAATTTTAATAAATTACATGATCAATTCTAAAAGTAATTGGAATAAAAAAAAAAGAAATAAAAATCAACTATTCCAATTGGACCTACATTTCATGAAAGTAAAAAGAGAGCTCAAAGAGATTATTTGAATGAGAAATCAGTATAAAAAGAAGATCCATTGAAAAAAGCAAAGAAAGCAACTTCAAAGAAACCTAAAATTTAACCTAGATCAACAGATAAATTTAATGCATATGTGGATTATATATTTACAATGAAATAGAATCAACTTGCTTTAGATTAATAAAATGAAGAGGAATAAAAATAGAGAGAGGATAAAAAATAGTTATTTAGACCAAGAGTTCATTAATCTTGGGCAATTTAAGATCATAATTAAGTTTAATATGAAAGATAATAATAAAAATTTATTGAATAATATTAAAAGAGAAGATAAGAAGAGGAAGATTTTAATAATATGATGAAAGAAATCTTTGTTAGAGTATATTAGAGACCTTTATTGATGGAAGTGGAAGCAGCTAAAAGTCAATAATAACCTTAGGAAGAATAAGAATAATAAGAATAATTTGATTATATGAATCCTATTGGTGAATAGGAAGTTGAAGAGTCAGAGAGAATATCTTAATAAGATCCAGAAGGAGTAGATTAAGTAGGAGAATAAGCAGAATAATCTTTGAGAGAATATGATGGATAGGAAATAGATGGTGATTATGATGATTAAATTGATATTGATAATTTAGATCCTAAGTTACTTGAAAAACTATAAAAAGATGCAATAGGTATATATATATATATATTTATATTATAGCTAAATAATATGGATTGACAGAAGAATAAATGGAATAAATATAATAAATGGGAGGTTTTGAAGCAGTTTAAAATATGGAATATGAGGATGAGGATGATGAAGATTAAGATGATTAAGAAGAATTATAAAATCCTCATTATAAAAGACATTCATTTTGAAACTTATTATTATTATCTAATATATATATATATAAATACAAATTAATGTTGAGATACCATGAATCAGACAGATTATCCCAACTTTCTTAACCAACAAAGAGATCTTAGAAGTTTACTTAGAATTAATCATTAATGGTGATGTCAAGGTAATTATAATTTAGAAAGTAGACTGTGTGATAATCATTTTGATAAGGAAATACATGAAAAACCGTGGATTTCTTTAGGAATATTCCGTTATGAGTACTTATACAAATGTTATTAAGTGTAGTCGGATGATTAAGTACGAACACTCAGATGCTGGATTGTCGTACACAAATGTGAAGATTAAGAAGTTACGAACATTTTAAGAGTTATGGGAGAAGAATGAAGAGATTCATAATAAGAGTGAGTAACATCAAGGCTTTAGAGAATTTAGAGAATTCAAAGATATTTCAGAAGAAGATGTTATTGTTACAATTGAATATTGGTAACAGAGTAAATTAATTGCAGTACTAATTGTCATGAACATTTGGGATCTACAAAACATGACGAAGCACGTTATCTATCATATGCCTAAGCCCTTAAGAATGAGATTATCTAAAGATTTCCAATTGTTAAAGTGATTCTTAAGCCATTAATATATGATCATTTTGATCATAGTATAGACACAATGTTTTTATAGCGTCGTTTAGGTATTCTTTATATATAAAATAACTTTAAGGATGTTTCGAAGTTTAAGTGATGTCTAAATAAAAAGGATAAATCAAATAAGCTGTAATTGGATCTAAACTAAATACTAAAGCATGGCCATAAACATCAGTGATTATTAATAAGTTGCCTTAATATTTTAAGAAGGTTTCATTTAATATAGATTTGAAATTTGCTGATTCTGATTAGAAATTAAAAAATATTGATGTCAAAATACAACCTTATAGACCTATTCAATCACGATCTTAAAACATTATGTGTAATAAATAAATACTATATTTTAATATAGTAATAACATCTAGATCGAATAGAATGTTACGACCATAAAGTGCTTAAACTAGACCAAAGTCAGCTTATTCTAATATATCTGGATAATCATAAAGAAGTTTGAAAGAGGCAGAAGAGAATCGCTCTTATAAAATAGAACGAACAAATTAAGATGGTAGAATTTCTTTAAAAAATGTACCTCTGGATGTTTATGAAGTAATTATTGAAGAGACAAATGATTTTCTTAGTAAAACTCATGTAATATTGAAAATTTAATATTTAATAGTTAATTAATTTGTTTTAATTAAACAATGAGGATTTACCTCTTGATCAATTAATTGAATTACAAAAACAAACACATTCTTGTATTGTAGTTATAGTACTTTGTTAATTGGCTCCAGTAACAGAATGTAAAGTAGAGATAGTTCCAATGAAAGGTGGAAAAGATGCTGTTTTGAAAGAATCTCCTTTAGGAAGTGGAAAGTATGAAATTGTAGTAGAACCTGATTAATTTACAATATTTGTTAAGAAACCAGGATATCTAGTTTATCAGGATTAAATAAATACAAAGGCTGGAGTATGTGAATACAAATATGAATTAATAAAAGCTAATACTTAAGAAGAAGGATATGATCCTGTATAGGATGCATTAGATAAAAAACATGCAATAAAACCATCAAGTGATTTGAAGATAAAGAAACCTAAATATTTATAACCTCCATCTGCTCATTAAAATCAAATAAATCTTATTTAATTTTAATTTATAGATTTGGTAACCAAATATCCAGTTCCAAATGTTTATATTAAAGTTCATGATGAATTAAATAATAAATTATACAGCTATCGTTCAAATGAGAAAGGAATTTGTAAAGCTTTATTACAAAATAAAAGTATATTATATTTTTTATTATAAATTTAGTTAATAAAGGTAAAATATTTATTTAACATGTTGAATATTATGATTAAATTAAAGAAATTAATGAATAACATCCATTATCTACAAATTCAATTAATAATTTTCACATTATACACAAACCTCAACAATCTCAATTAGTAGTCTTACTTGTAAATAAACCTAATGAAGGTTTCTTGAATTTTTATATAATTTTAGAAAGTAATATATAATCCTTAATATTTATTTAGATAAATAAGTAATACAAACTGATTAAGACATTGAATAAAATTAAAATCCAAAAGATGGTATACAATTAATTAGATTTTCAAATCTATAAAATAAGAGAGATATTTTATAATTAGTAGCATGTTTACCTAAATTAAGTATGGATTCTATTGAAGAAATGTATGTATTGACTCCAAATCATATATAAAAATATTAATTACCATAATTACCATAATAAGAACATGGTACATTATATCCTTACTTTTGGATTTTGGGTTCATTAAAAGAACCATATGAAGCATTTGATGTTGTTAATTAAATTATTAATACATCATAATTAAAAACTTATCCCAATCTTACTAAATCTATTTAAGATTCTTAAGAAGTTGTATAATGTGCATTTTAATCACCTAATTTGATTATTGCTGCCAATAGAAATGGTAGTATTTATGTTTGGAATTTGGATAGTTATTTGGTTGATTGTACAATTAATAGTGTATTCTCTGATTTTGTCAATACAATTATTATTTGGGATGATGATAATGTCATAATATCTGATAATACTGGTTATATAGTTTGGTTGAAAAAAGATGATGAAACCTAATAATTCATTTTATAAACATCACTTAATATAAACAAGAAAACTAATTCTATGTGTAAAGTAGGAGCAGAAGGATTAGCTGTGGGTACTGTTATTGGATAATTGGTTTTAGTCAAAGTAGATTTTAGACAATTATAATTATCTATTGATTCAATCATTGAAGTTGAATCTTCAACATAAACTGTTGATCCTATCAATAAGATGGTTTCAATTACTAATGATTAAATTGCCATCTTATGTGATAATAATAAATCCATTTTTATTTATAAAATTGAAAAATCATTAGATCAACCTTTGAGTGGAACACTCATTAAATAAGTTTAAATCAAAGGTTATCTTAGTGGTGGATAACCAATATTATAGATTATTTCTTTGGATCAACGTTATTTAATTTTTGGAGGACTTGATGGTGTATTACATACTTTAGGAATTGATTCACTTGAAAGAGGTCCAAATATTGGTTTACATTCTGATCAATAAGTTAATAGTGTTTTATAAAATGAGGATGGAGTATTAATTGCTTAAGGTAGTCATATTAGTTTTGTACCAGCCCCAGAAACTGTTAATGAACTTAAAATTGCTAATTAAAAATATTTTCAATCTCCAGTTAAATTATATTAAGGAGAATGTGTAAGTTATGAAAAAAGATTACTTACATTTACTAATTAAGGTAAGATGGTTGTTTGGTCATTATAAGATAGAATCTTTCCCAATATTAGTTAATTTTTGATGGATTAAGAATTTCCACATAAATTAAAATCTATAGATAAAAAATATTTATTAGTAGATGCAAAAATCTCTAAAGAAAATTTCTCTATTTTTTTAATTAAAGAAAATGGAGAAATCATTAAAGATTCAACTCAAATAATTAAAATCTAAAGAGAAGAAAATTATTTTTATATGGAAATTGATTAAATATAATAATAAGGATTATGGAGATTAGGAGCATATCTATAGAATACAGAATTAATTAGATCAAAATAACCTAAAATATACTTTATATCTTCAAATGGATTTTAATTATTAAATTTTCCTTAATAAATTCCTATTAGTAGAAAATAACCTTATTAATGGTTAATTGGTACTCTTATTCCTCATGTAGATACATTAAAATCTACTTCACTTTATACTGATTCTTAAATTGTTGGTAAATTTCCAAGTTTAGAAATGAGTAAACATGAAGGTAAAATCAATCAAATAGTTTTCCTTAATAAAGATGAGTTTATCACTGCAGGAGAAGATAAATAAGTTATTATATGGAATGCTTAAACATTTGGAATTAATAAGGTATTATATCATGAAGCTGAAATTTTGAGTGTTTATGTACATAATGGAATGTTGTTAGCAGGTAATAAAGAAGGAACAGTAATTGGATGGAAATAACATGATGGTATTTGGTAAATGGATATCAAATTCAAACATCATGAAAAAGGAGTTTATTCTATTTTATATGTTGATGGTAGTATTGTGACAGCCTCAGAAGATAGAAAGATTCAATTAGTCAATTTTGTATCAAGTGCTTTAGAACATGTAGAACCAGTAGATAGAACATTTGTAATATCATTGGTTACTTATAATAAAGATGTATTTGCAGCTGGATTTCCTGATGGAAGAGTCAAAACATATAAAAGAGTAAATTTATTATTTTCTATATGATTTTAGGAAAAAACAGGTCCAAAAGTTATATTGAAAACTTTAAGAACAGTTGCTACAGTAAAAGTGTAACATTTGTACATGATTAGCAATAATCTATTATTTGTAGGTGGTATGGATAAAGTAAGTGATCTAATGAATGTAGAACAAGGAACAAAATTAAAGTAAATTATTTAATTATATTTAGAACATTTAAAGATGGTCACACAGGATCAATTTTATGTAGTTTTCTATATTGTAAACATCTTATAACAGGTGGTTCTGATGGTAGATTAAGTATTTGGAATATTGAAAAAGGATTATTAATCAAAACATATGAATTAACAAAAGAAGAAATTAGAGGAATTTATATTATTGGTAGATTATTGATTACTGCAAGTAAATATTAAAAATAATCAAATCTAAAGGTTCCAATGGGATGATAAGAATTTGGTAAGAGATTTGTCCATTTATTGAGTAAATACCACCTGAAGAAGAACCAGAATAATAATAATAATAATAATGATTTATATTCAATAAAATAATTAATGTATCTTTTATAATTATGATATTTATGATAAAAAAAAATCAAAAGAAAAATAATAAATATTATATAATGTTAATAAATAAGAGATTTACTTTTATTTTTTTATAATTGTTTGTAAAATGCAAAAAAGCTTATATTTTTATATAGGTTCTATCATATATTTTAATCTTTAGTATAAAATGATATTAAATAAAATAAATATTATTATTCTTAATCAGATTCAATTTTATATTGGTTAGTAATATTTAAGCTGAATTCGATTGTAGAATATTTCTATTATACCAAATTATATCAATCTTTAAATAACACAGTATTGTAAGATAACCATTCTATAGAATTGCAATAGAAATAGCAGAAAGTTTAAATCAGACAATATAATTTGAACAATATCAAATATCAATCTAAACCCTTAGGTTATCAACTCTTAAAATTAAGATTCGAATAACTTTTTGAGTTTGGAAGATACAGAAAGACGATATTTCATCCTTACAGAACAAATTTAATAAGAAGTTGCATTAAGACTTAGAAAGATTCTTTATATGTAATATTTTAATGCTTTAATCAATCAAATGCTCAAAATTTGGGCTTTTTGTGTATAAATGATTATGGAACCATTAGATGTTTGCTATAGTAATTTAGCTACTTTTTAAATGATATTTTTATAAATATCATTGTATTAATATGTGGAAGGGTATATCTTATGTTTAATAGTATTGATATCATTACCATTTATAGTATTAATTATATTATGAAATATGTGAAAGTAAAGAAAATAGAATTATGATAATCAACAAATATTGAATGAACTCATAGAAAGATCAAAAGTGATCTATTAGAAAATGTATAAGGTGATTAGAAATGTGGAATTTGTTAATAAGTTGTATTAATGAAGAATTATTGATTCTGCCTTGTAATTAATAACATCATTTTCATTTGCATTATTGCATTAAGTCTTGGCTAATATAAAATTTAAGTTGTCCTAAAAATAGATCAAAGATAGGTTAATTTAGAAAAAACTTAACAAACAAGTATTCTATGATATTTTTATTTATGTTATGATAATGTCATAATGTGGCTGATGAAATCTTTCTTTCTTTATATTCTTCTATCAATTTCATTAAGTGATTCATAGATCTTTATGGATCAAGTCCCTTTGGACAAGTAAAAGAACACATTCCAATATTTTAACAATCCTCTACTTTAACATCCTCAGCTATTAATATAGAAATATAAGAATACCTAATTTTTCTAATCTTTCATCAGTATATTCATCTCTAGAATCTACAATCCATCTATAAGCCTACATCAATACAGCTGGACCGAGATATCTATCTGGATGCCACCAATATGATGGACAAGAAGTAGAACAACATGCACACAATACACATTCATAGAGACCATCTAATAACTTTCTATCTTCAACTGATTGGATGTATTCCTTGTTTCCTTCCTAAAATGATAAAATTAGATTCTTATACTTTTGGAGTCTTTCTCTTCAAATAAGGGTCAATAGTTTTGTATTGAGTATAGAAGTTGGTCATGTCAACAACAAGATCTTTTACAACAAACATATGACCTAAAGGAGTGATGTAGGCTGGTTAAGTTAAATCAGTATCAATTGCATGGATGCATGCTAATTTATGGAGACCATTGCAATTCATAGAACAAGATCCACAGATACCCTCTCTACATGAACGACGTAAGGATAGAGATGAATCATAATTGTCTTTGATGTACAATAATGCATCCAAATACATAGGGGGTATCTTCTTCAAATCCACATAATAACTCACATATTTTGGAAAGTCATTTTCATCCTAAAATCAATAAATGAAATCCTACAGCTGGATCATATCTATAAATCAAAAATTGCTTCATTTTAGACTTTTCTTCAGCTGTGAGTTTTGGATTATGTTCAACCACATAATTTATTTATTGTATGCCTTTAACTGTACTTGAAACAGTATCAAACAATCTCTTTGTAGCATCATTACTATCATGATGATGATGTGTGCCATGCCAGAATATTGGTCTTCTTATTACTGCAGACAATCTCTATAACATAATTAAATTTATATATCAATTTCAATCCTTAAAATAAGTACTTAAGAATTCAATTTTCCTTCTTTTCTTCTACCTTTGCTTCATCCTTCTACCCTTCTTCATCTCCTTTCTAACTTTCTCCTTCTTTTTTGATCTTGTCTAAGATTTCCTTCTCATTAACATCTGCAAAGTCTTTCATTAATTCACATTTTGCATTGTGTAACATTGATTAAAGATAGAATGATCCTCCCTTCACAGGATCATTCTTATGGAATTATCTCCAATAAACCTACAAATTATAATCCTTCTATATACTCTGATAATATCCTCTGGACTAGTTTTCTCTGGAACTAATTGTAGTATCTTAAATGCTTCTTCTCTTGTCATAGGCTTATGAGTTAGATTTGCAGCTTACATAGTTTGATTCAAAAATTCTGTAAATGGATTTCCTGCTTTTCCTCCTGATTCTAATATAATTATTAACTTTATACATTTTGCACTTTATTAATATGCTTTAACAAAAGACTTGGCTACAGTAGAACCGACTTCAATTATCAATTTAATTATGAGACGCTTGACCATGAATAAAATTATTTCACTTAAATGAAATTTATTTACTAAATTATATTTTTAAATCATCTTTCACTCTCTCCCATAAAATAACTCTCTCTATTTGATGTACGAAAATGTTTTTGGAATAATGATCACAAAACTCTCTCACATCCCTTAATTATAATTGGAATTCAATATATTCCTCACTCTCTTTCACAAATGCATCTATATAATCTCTAGATCTTGGTTAAGTAATTATCAGAATATGATATATTTGAAATAAATAGATTTTTATTAAATTTGAATATGTTCTAATTTATAATTTAGATTTGCTTATAGAAATAATTCTTATAGGAGACAAATACCTTTTGTAATTCTTATTTAATTTTGAAATCACATCCATCAAAGATATTTATTTAATATACTTATTGTTGATCAATAAACATGATTATATTCCCCAATTATAGAATAACAAAAACTGAAATTTTTATTAACCTTATTTTAATGTTTAAACTAAATCCTTTCGAAATTCAAATGAAAATTACTTGCCTTTCTCTTTTGTCATCACCTTTTCTAAAATTACTATTCTATTCATCTTTTCAAAACCATACATACAAACCCTAATATTAAATCTAAAACATTTTAAATGAGCTTCAATATCAGTATTTAATGTAATAGTATCACTTAGAAGTTTATTTAAAAGAGATATATTGTTGACTTTAGTTTCACTTAAAAATTCTCTTGCATTACATCCAAAACAATAATCATTTTTATAACCAGCAAATCTTTCAATCAAATTACAACTAGTTATATTAAAATATGTATTTTTATGAGTGAATTTTATATAAGGCTTCTTAACCAAAAATGGAAGTTGCTTATCCCATACATCATCTGAAATATTAGCTAGAAATTATTTTCTATAATTGTAATCACTTACATATATTGTAAGTACTATAAAAAAAGAGCTTGTTATAGCCAAACTTGTACAAAGTGGATCCACTTTTTTTGAATGAATACTTGTAATAATTATCTTTATTGTTAAATGACTAATTGCTTATATTACTCCATCTCTAAAATCTGAAATAAAATAACCAATTGCTTAAAATAAAGCATAACTATTCCCAAAAGAATAGAACTCTTACTTTGCAGTAGCCTCTTCATTAAAATTCATTTGTAAAAATCCAGACATTATATTAGTTATAACTAATGCTTACTTTATATAATTTTAATTTTTGAACACCATCACTGCCATAATTGTTTAAACTATCACAAAACCAACATTAATTTCTGATGAAAAGCTTGTCCCTCTTACAAATTCTAAAATAGCTTTCATTCCATTTAAAACAAAAAATATAAATGTAGCATAATATACAGGTTTTCTTATCTTTTATAGTTTCTCATTTTAAAACTAATCCTCTAATTTTTTATCCTCAAAATTTAAAGAACATTTATGCATTAATTATCAAATTTAGAAAAAAATAATATCTACACAATAATAATAATGGATATTCAAAAAATTAATAAATCACCAATATTTTATTTATACTATTCAAAGAAACTCAAATATACTAAATTTTAACAACTATTAAAGAAAAATTAAAATATATGAATAGATATTTTCAATTACATTAAAATAGATATTTATTTTATTTGAATGATTCTAAATCTATAATTTTAATTTTACTTATAACAACCCTAATTATTATTAGTACAAATATTAAGTGAGATATCTTATGGATCATGGATCAGCTAATATATTCTAATGCAATTAATTATAAAAAATTAGATTTTTTTAGATCAAATCTATTTTAAACCTTTAATTAAATTTCTTAGTTTAGAATAGGAACTTTCATCTATGTTTTTAATTTCCTGTAATTCTTGCCATATTTATTGCCTCAATTTTTATTAATAAAATAATCTTAATATTTCAAAAGTTATCTATAAAGATGATGGGAAAATATAAATCTACCACAAAAATAATTAGAAAAATTTATTGTCATTCCAAAACCTAAATAATCTAATATCCATATAAGATTTTAATATTAAACAACTAAAGAACAAAAAAAATAATAAGAAATTATAATTTATTTTTAATTATAATTTTAGATTATTTAATTACTAATTTACAAAAATTATTATAGAAAAATATATTATTGATCAACTGTTAGAAATTCTAAAAAAATCTCTAAATTATTAAAATTCCAAAAACTGAAAATTAAAATTAAAAAAATGATTTTAGTTTATATTCTACTCTTTTAATGTTGTAATATTTAAATCTTTATCACAATAAAGCAAAATTTCTAAAGGATTTATTAATTATTCAATATACATATGCTTAATTAACTTTAAAGAGGTTAATATATTTAATATTCATATTGGGATATATACAAACTCATAGTTGATAATTTACATTATAAAATATTTCAATTTATTACTAAAATAAATTTTAATTGCGATTTTTGATAATTGAATACTCAATACCATACTAATTTCAACTTAATTCTAAGAAAAGAAGGGTTAATTCTAAGAATAAATAAAAATCTCTTAATCTAAAAAAGCTATTTATTAAACTTCATAGACCTAAATGATTGCATTTGATTTATAAATAGTTAAAATAAGAAGAATAAATATATAAAATAATTATCTAATTAGAAATAGTAGTTTAATACATGAACTTATATTATAGATACAGCAATTTTGGATTGATAAAATATTTTATTTATTGTAAACAATTAATTGAAATACATTAATATTATTTTTATTTATGCTTATTATATATATTATTAAATTAATTGAATTATCAACTTATTAGCTAATTAGATTAATTTTAATTTCAATTTTTGATTTTTTGTTTATGTCTTATGAAAATCTGTTTTATTATAAGCATATTCTTCAAAATATATGATATATATATTATGATATAATATTAGAAATTTATAATTTTCATTCTCCTCCTGGGGTAGAAGTATTGCTTTAATAAATAAAACCAGTATGGGTAATATAATCATAGTCCTCTGAATTCTAATACGTATGAAAAATATCCATAATTTTGATAAAATCTTCCTTTTTTTTTAATAATTTTAGGATCTATATTAATTATTAAGAAAATAACTAACTAAGTAATTTCATTCGATTGGATAGATCTGGAATAGTTCTTATGATGTTTGTGTTTAATTTGTTTCCACACATACATTTAATTAAATATTTTGTTCTATCCATTATTTACATTTCTATCCATTCCTTAAAGCAATTTAGATGATAAAAATGGTTGCAATGTAATTTAACTACATCATCATTATGAATTTATTTCTGACATAATTAACAAAAGCTGGTAATTAATAATTTTGATTCACTTTTATATAAAATTCCATTAGATTTAAATTAAATTTCTTATAATTTAATTTACATTTCTTCATTTTAATTAACAGATTATTAATAATCAAAATCTTATTAGATTGTATTTGATTTAAAGAGTTAAACAATTTGATCATAATCAGGGTTTTTTCTTATTGCTGAATTTTTCAATAAGATTTAAATTTATGAAGAGAATATTTAATATAATAATTTAGATCTAACTTCTTTATTGACTAATTATCTCAAAAGATTAGGATTCAATTTAGTTCCACATTTACATTTAATATATTGTCTTTCAAATTAAAGTAATTATTATTCAATTAATTTAACAAAACAATCATGATGATAATTATGTTAACAAAATACTTAAATAATTATTTCTTCAATTTCTTTATTGCAAAAAAAGCATTTATGAATTTTATTTAAAGTTTATTAACTTCTAACCAATCTTCCACTAGCATCAATCTAGATTTATTAATTAGATTCAAAAATAGAAACAATTTTATTATTATCCCCTTCTTGTTAAAATTGTTATTAGTCAATGTCTTAAATTATTAATGAACATGGAAAATCTTAGTTATTAGTCTCTCCTAAAGACTATTATGGTCTATGTGTTGAAATAGTAACACATGGTTGGTTAGAGTCAGTAGATTCTTTAAATTATTTTTAAAGAACTACATTTTATTGATTTTAATCTTTTTAAGGAATCGAAAAAAGTTATCCCATTTGATTTATAAAATATATAATATAATTATTGAAATACATAGAAATTTAAAATTATATTAATATAGTATACTAATTAAAATACACTGAATTTAGTACTTCTGAATATTTTAAAATTAAAACTAACATCCTTAATAAATACTATAAAAATATATAAATGAAATTCCTTATTAATATATTCTCATATTATTAATGCTTATACTCTTAGTAATTTTGTTAAAGGTTTTCTTGATCAATTTGTAATTTTATTAATCACATATTTTATACTTAAATCAAATCAATAATTACTTAAATGGTCAGCTAGTTTATAATTATTTATATTATTATATTGTTTTTGTTAATAAATTTAATTAAAATTTTTAATATACATAAATAAAATATAGAACATTCGATTTCTAATTATTAATTATTTTGAAGTCACTAAGAGATTATTCAAAGTATTACCTAATATGGAAAATAATTATTTTGATTTAAATCATATGATTTTTTATATTAATTTATCGAATTCTATTATATTCTGCCACATAAATTGAATATCATTTTAAAAAATTTATTAATATATTTAATAGAAATACAATGAATCAAGAAAAGAAGCATCATTTTTAAGATGATAATAATAATATTGAAATCAAATGGAAAATAACAAAAGGTATGTATAATTCATTAAAATAGATTTGCCATAGGATTATCAAATTTAACAATAATAAATTAAATATGAACATATCCAGCCTCAACCAAATCATGATTTTGGGTTTGGTCCTGGTAATGGATGGACTATAAAATTTAGTAATGGATAAGATTTAGTTGCTACTCAAGATTAACAAGGTTAAATTAGTGTCTTTGTTGATAATGTTTGGGTGCCATTAGAACAGAAATTAGCAGAATTTTAATAATAAATCCTATTATATGTTGAAGTAAAAGATTATGATAAAATCAATGAATATAGAGGATTTATAACAGCTAAAGATTGCTTTTTCTAAACACAAGATCTCGGAGAATTAGAAGATTTATCATCAGAGATAGAGAAACATATTTTAAGCATCTTAGATAAGAATAGCTCTGTATATTTGAAAATGACAAATGAAAATGCTGAATTGTAAATCAAATTATCATTGGCAAAAGGAAAAAAATTAATTGAATTCCCTATACTAATTCCATTAGCCTTGAAAGAGTAAAATAAAGAAGAGAAGGAAAAATTAATAAAAGATAAGGAATTAAATACATAAAAATAGAGATTGGAAAAAATTGAATAGGAATTGAAGCAATTAAAATAAAGTCAATAATAATAAAGCAATTTAAAAAAAGTGACTTTGAATGATATAAATAAAGTCTAAAAATAAGAATAAGAACTAGAAAAAAATATCTATATATCACGTGAAACACTTTCAGGGTTATTTGAATTTGAATTAATTATCGCTAACGATGAGATTGAATTTTAAGTTGGTATTATAGTAGATAATGATTTGGGGAACATTGAAAAAAAAAACAAATCTTATTATGTCGTATTACCTGATGGAAAATTTGTAAGAGGAACATTAGAGTTTGGAAACTTTTTCACTTATAAATTATAAGTGGATGACAAACTAGGATTAAGAGTTGACACAGTTAAAAATTTATTTTAATTGGTTATAAATGATTATCCTTTTCCTCCAGTCAAAATTAGTGATTCAATAGAGGAATTTTCATTTATTATAATAAGTTCTGAGGATATAAATTCATTTGCTCAAGTTCCATAATAATAATGAATGTGAGCTGAATATTAATGTTAGCACAAATATTAAAATTTATTATCTCTTTGTTCATATAATATATGAAGCATCTTTCATTTTTGTTCATTTTGACTTAAATCTAAATAGAGGAAAGATTGGTAATATAACAATAATATATTTTGTTAATAGTTATAATATTAATTAAAATAAAGGTTGTAAATAATACTTCAGATTTTGATGGATTGATTTTTTTAATAATTTATAATTTAAAGTGGATAAAATCTCTCTTCATTACTAACTAAATGAATACTGAATAATAAGAGTGTCTGCCTATCAAAAAATTTCTCCTAAAAAAATAGATTTCAGAAAGATTATTTAATTCTCATATACATTCTCCTTAGCATGACTAATAAAGAGGTTCTCCTTAACATTAGAGAAAAATAATATTTCCATAAATCTAGGTACCTTAAGAAAATACAGATTAAAAACATTTGATTAGTCCAAAATATCAATAATCAGTAGAGAAAATGGAATATATAAAATTGCCTGAGATTGATGAAAAGTTTTATATCAAAAGGTCAATATAGTAGGAACTATGTTTTAATGTTAAAATGTAACATTCATCGAGGAAAAACTCAACAGAGAACAATGAAATAGTAGATAATGATTAATTTATCTTACCTCATCATTAAAATAATAAAAAAGTTGAATTTTAACAAGATGTTTTAGTTTATGATTACATAAATTAAACTTATAAGAAAAGTAATATAGATGGTTCATAAAAACCATTATTTAGAAGATAAAAGACAAAAAATTTAAGTGATGATCTTCGATTATATAATGACAACTTTAAATATAATGGAAAATCTTAATTTTTTGATATAAGCACAAAAGAAAAACATAATTAAAAACATTTTATAATAGATACTTTATAAATGGAAAATGAGAACCAAATTAATAAGGAATGAAATGATTATATATCAGATTATAAATATTTAATCTATAGATCAGATTTAATATTAACTATCTTTAAAATTTGTTATTATTGTTTACAAAAAACATAAAATAGATTCTTAATAATCAAATATTATTCTAATTAATTAACTAATTAAGAAAATCTTCACAAAAAAAATTCTTCTAATATTTCAAATGAAGTGATTTTTTTTCTGGAATATAAAATTTTATACTAAAATTTTTTTTAATTCCTTGAATAAAATTTAAATTTTATTAGATTAAAGTCAGTTCAATAAAGTTGGTTATATATTCAGATAGATATGAGTATACTATGCCTCCATATAAAATTTACATTAATAACTAATTATTGATGTGAGATACAACTTTTTATTTCTTGTTTAAAAATATATTAATAAGTTTTATATAATCATAGGAATTCTAAAAATGAAAAGAAATAATAATAAAATTCATTATTCTTAATATAATATCTAAATAAGTATTTTTAAAGTATTAAAATCCATTTATTAGATTATAAATTGTTAATAGTGGAGTCAAGAGATGAATTTAATATTTAAAAGGGAGTGTCCCTAATGTTGCATATGTTACAAATAAAATTGAAAGAGAGAATCAATTTTAATTAAATATATTAAAAATATAATTTATGGGTAAAGACTTCAGAGGTGGAAGAGGAGATAGCAGAGGAGGTAGTAGAGGAGGAGACAGAGGCAGAGGAGCCCCAAGAGGTAGAGGTGGTGCCAGAGGAGGCAGAGGAGGTCGAATGGGAGGAGCTCCAAAAGCTTTTGTGGTTCCACATCCAAGATTGGCAGGAGTCTTTGTAGCCAAAGGATAATAAGAAGCTTTAGTGACAAAGAATATGGTGCCTGGAGAATCAGTATATAATGAAAAGAGAATTTCAGTGGAAGACAAATAAACTGGAGAGAAAGTTGAATATAGAGTTTGGAACCCATTTAGATCAAAGATTGCTGCTGGTATAATTGGTGGTGTTAGCGATATTTTCATAAAACCAGGTGCTAAAGTATTATATTTGGGAGCTGCATCAGGAACAACAGTATCTCATGTTTCTGATGTAATAGGATCAGAAGGTATGATTTATAATGATATACTTTAGGTGTGGTTTATGCAGTTGAATTCTCTCATAGATCTGGAAGAGATCTAGTAAATATGGCAAAGAAAAGAACAAATATAGTGCCTATTATAGCTGATGCAAGAAAACCATTGGAATACAGAATGCTTGTAGGAATGGTTGATGTTGTGTTTGCAGATGTTGCACAACCTGATTAAGCCAGAATTGTAGGATTAAATTCACAATATTTCCTTAAAAAGGGAGGACATTTTATGATATCAATTAAAGCCAATTGTATTGATTCTACCAATCGTGCTGAAGTTGTATTTTAGCATGAAGTGTAACGTCTAAAAGTATGTTTAAATAAATATTTTAGGATGAAGGACTTACACCTTAAGAATAACTCACTCTAGAACCATATGAAAGAGACCATGCTATTGTAATTGGAGTATATAATGCTTGAATATTAAAATATAAAGTATATTAAATTTAATGAGTCATTATCAAAATCCAACATACAATCATGCATAAATGAAAAATCAAGTAGGAGTTTCCAACTTAAAAATGCTTGATGGAGAAGACTTAAGTATTTTTATAGAAATATTCTATCTTAGCTGCTGGAGACAGAAGAAAATTACAGTAACTGTAAATGAAGGACTGGGTATAATAATAAACCCAAGAGAATCAATAAAAAAAACAATTGAACAAATAAATATAATAATAATATGATCAGCAGACATTATAGATTAATTAGAGTTTAAAAGAATTAGAGTAAGAGTAATAAAGGAGAAGAGTTGAAATGGAAATTGCCAATTAACAAATCAATAATTAATTGGCAAAAGAAAAATAGGATAGAGAAGAATATATGGCTAGATAGGCTTAACTTGAGAAGAAATAACATATGGAAGAAATAATGAACAATGATGTTTGGACAGAGAAGTAATTCAAAAATCTTATAATATAGCACTGCCACTTGTCAAAGTGCTTTAGCTCCTCATAGAGTGATACCTTATCATTATAAAGGAATGTCAGAACAATAGAGATAAGAAATAAGAAATGATTAAGCCAAATAGAGAGAATAAAACGAATAAAAAAGATAATAAGAAAAAGAAGATGAAAAAATGTGGGCATAATATAATGAAGTAAGAATCTATATATATATATTTTAATAGTATAATCGAAAATAATTAATTATTCAAGAAAGAGAGAAGGCTCGAAAATTATAAACACTTAGAAATAATTAAAAAGAATCTAATTTATTGTCATAAACTGAATAGAAACTTAAATTAAAAAATGAATATGCATGACAATCAAATTATAATAATAATCTTATTAAGTACTATAAAAATTCTTTATAAAACATATAAACCTCTTTATATTAAGAATTTATTGATAAGTTAAAAATAATGGAATTTAATATGATTTTATTCTAAATGATATATTGGAATTTATCATTTAACAATTTTATCTCTTCTGTATTTGAATGGATATGATGAGATATCCTATAATGGGGAAGCTCTTTCCTCACTTGGATATAGTATGTTTGTGAAAAATCCATGTCTATTATTATAAGCTTCTCTCATTTATCTGTGAATCTCTTATGTTGTCCAAGTACGAGGTACTTATTCATTGAGTGCCTTCATATTCAAGCCTACTCTTCTTTCGATCAAATTAAGTAAACTCAACTTTTCACTAAAAGAGTAATAAAGAATTTAGTTACCTTTATAAAGTAGTGTAAAATGGATTGAAATGGACCCAACCAAGCCAAAGTAACCCAGATATTGCTGCAGGAATCATTCTTTAGGCACCTACTGAGTATTTTGTTGCTATATATGGTTATAATGCTCCAGTATAGTGAAAGAGTGCATAACATGCAAGAGGGAATCCCCAATAGGACCAAGTATTTAATCTATCCTTTAGAAGGAAAGATTTGATATCTTCTGAGAACAATACTCTTTGTTTATATGCATTAAGAAGTGTAATGGATTTCTCTTCCTCAGTATAGAAATGCCAAATTCTCAATTCAAAAGGAGATCTCTAATCTTGAGCCATTTATTTTTAATAAAATTAATATTTATATCTACATTGAAAATGTTATAATAAGAGTCAAAGCTAATCAATGAAAGTAGATTAGCAAGTTTTCAATGTTCTTATTTAGCTATGAATTAATATACAATTCTTTCTTTTTTTTGTTCTAATAACATTAATTTACTCAGATATTTCAGGAATTTTTTCTCTTATGATGACTCCTTTATTAGGTTATATGATTAATATTTTATCACTAAAACTAACCTACTTCTTATTATGTCTTAATCGCTATTAATTCAGCAGATCTCTCTAATCTCTATAAGTAAACCAATTGCTATTTTTTAGTGAGGATTTCATTGAATTATTATTTGTTTAAGTTTGTATTTAAAAGTCTTAGATAGGCTTTAATTTAAGTTTCTGAAATAGAGATGAAGTGATAATATTTCTTTCAGAGCGAAAAATAGATCTAGGGGTTTCACAATATAAAGGACTTTCATTATTGATTTGAAGTTTTCTAGTTAAATTAAAAGATTAGAACATAATTAATAAATGATACCACTAATAAAATAGGTCCTTAAATTTTATCATGATAATACTATATAATACACAACTAAAATATTAAAATTAGTAGAGAATCTTGTAAATATTTTGTTGAGTAATAGTTAATTATTGTATTATATGTAATATTAAAACACAGAATTTAATATCCTTTTTAAATTTCTTTTAAATCTTTCCTCCAATTTTATATTTACATTTTTTTTAGATTATCACATATTCTTATAAAATTAAAGAATTAATAATATTAATGATGATTATCAATATAGAAATTAGAATAGAGAAATTGTTAAATAAAGTAAACTGATTTAAATTTAATTATAAATGAATGAGTTTATAATTGAAATTTTAATGATATAAAATAGTACTCAAATTCATTATTATTCTATAGTCCATAATTCAAGATGTTTAATCCTAAATTTTTCATAATTTGTAAATCTTGGATTATCAAAAGTTGTACAAGGATTAGAATATCCAAATATAAGACTTTAATCAATAAAAAGTCCAAATTTATCTCCACATCCTATTCCTAAACCAGTTTCATCACAAAAAATAAAATCTTTATTCTTCTCAGTCCAAAAGTAAGTTTGTACTTCATTTTTCTAATTTAATTTAATATTTACTTCTATATCTATATTAAACAAAAAAGTTTCACCACTTCCTTTGAAACCTTCAAAATATTTATTAATTTCACTTGAAATATATGCACCAAAAATATTGAGATCAAAATCTTTAATAATTAATAAAATTGGAAATATATATCTTATTTCTTAAAGCATATTTGAATAACTAGATCCATCAATTTCAATATCATAAATTTTATTCCAATTGGCTAATCTATAAATAGCAGGTATTGATTCAATAACTTATTTATAGGTAGTATCAGTAAAACAATTTGAGATTCCTTTTAAAATAGGAACATATTCCAAACTAGCCCATAATTCTAAGTATTCTTATTAATCTTACTTCCCATACGTTCACCAATAACATCTTAAATTTCATCTACATCTACATCTAAATTTTATTTTTATGTAGTATCTTCAATGAAATCTATAAATGGCAATTTAGTTAATTCTACAATAGCTGTATAATTTGAACAAGCTTCAGTTATAAATCTAGCCATTGTAATACAATTTAATTTTTTGATTTCTTCTGTATATAATTTACCTGTATGATCTCTTTCAGCATGCTAATATAAAATTATTTAACATATTTACTCTAAAAAATACAGTAGCTATGCTTTTCTTCTATTCTTTATATCTATCTAATTATTTTCTGTATTTCTTTTCAAATTTTGGTTTGCCTATTCCTGATAGTAAAATCTGTACAATATAATCTAAATGACCATTTTTATTATTTAAGATATAATATACAGCCTCATTAATATCTTTCATTGAGATACATGCTTATAATCTTATTTTCTTTTAATTATCTTCAATATGATCTTATTATATAGGATTAAAAAGAACTAAATCAGAAGTAAGAGTCAATTATCCTTAGACATTTTATTTATTATTACAATAAATTACATCAACTAATTTATAATGATGAATCATAATACATTTTTAGGAAACAGTATCAGGATTCCATATATATTCAGTTTTTTACTTTTATTCTTGTATAGGAACAACAGAAAATGTCTTCTCAATTCTTTTTGGTACTTTAATTATTTAACCTTAGAATATTAAATCACTTGATAAGTCATTTATTCTCATAAGGTAATCTTCACAAATACTAAATTTAAGTGCAATTCCATATAATGAATCATCTACTTTAACTTCATATTCAATTAAATCTTCTTAAAATTATTGTTCTTCTTAATATTCTGATTGTATTTGCTATTTATTATTATACTCTGATTCTATAATATTCATTGCCTATTCATCAATAATTTGAAAATCATTTGGAAAATCATTTGTTATTTTAGAATCATCTTATTGTTATTGATCATATTATTCAAATTAAATGGTTTGCTTATCAGATTTTTATTTCTTAGAGAAAGCATTCTTAAATATATTTAACATAGATAATAATATCTAAATAATTTATTCATATGTAAAATTATTATTATTATTATTAATGATAATATTCTTGATTATATAAATTTCAAAATAATTGATTGTAGATGATACCAAGATATATAGATACAGTCATCAATTACAAATATCATTACCTACTGCAATTAATGCTGAATTGATACCAAATAATGAATAATGTTAGTTGTATAAACCAATCATCCAAAATAACCTTGATTAACTAAAAATCATAGAAGACAATGTGATCAAGTAAATCTTTTTAAAATAATGGAAGTATAGATTTTATGGATGAGACTCAATTCTATTTTCATTAGTTCATAGCAATTATTAAAAAGAATGATACTCAATTTTTGATCATAAGTGACAACCTTAAATTATACTATATTGATGCTTATCAACGTAAAACTATTGATATTATCAACTTATCTGATTATTTATCCAAAGATTTTGATGTCTCCTTTTTTAAAGACAAATTCAACAATATTTTTATACATCAATAAGACTCTATCTTATTGATATCAAATAGGTCTATTATACCATACTTTCTTATCAATAGAGGATAAAGATATTAAACAATTTATCATCTTAATAATTACATTATAACTGCTGTTGGTTCATATGGTTTTGATATCTATGAAATCCTATATAATTATCCAAACCAAGAAATTTCAATTAAATTTCATTCAAATACTGTTCATTTACATTTACATCCAATTGGAATTTGTTATAATAAGATATAACCTAACTAATTGTTTATTCTAGATTAAAAACTAGGTTTAATTGTAGCTGAAATGAATGAAAAAGGATCTATAAGTTTAGATTCTCAACATCCTTTAGATTTCATTAATCCTGACAAGATTTAATCAACTAACAAATTTATTTATATTTCATCTAATGTTTAGTTGAATAAATATGATATTCTCACTTACAAATTAATCAGTATATAAAAATTGAAAAATATACAGAAATTATAAACAAGTGAAAATCAAGATGAAATTGTAGTTCTAGGATTCAATAAACATTATATTGAAGATATGGAATGGAAATTTATTGGATTACATGATCTCATCTTGAATGATAATAAACTTATTGCAGTTACTGGTACTAACTTTTATATAGGCAATATCATTAAATTACCATTTCGAATTTTATGTTCTCATGTTCAAAATAGTGAATAATAATAATTCACTTTATTTTATAATACTACATATGAATAACATGTTTAATAACTAATTGTTTAAAGAATTGATATTGATTAATATAATCCAATCATCTAATTATTACTTAGTTTTTGTTTCGTTTTGATAATTCTACTACTTTTTGGTATTTATGATATTTATAATTAAAGTGTGTCTTTATATAAATAAACTTAGATCGATACATTTGTAGCATGAGAGAATCAGAAAAAAGCTTGAAAACTAATAACATACAAGAATAACAATGAATAGTTAGATGTATTGATATATATATATATTTAATTATTAATATATTAAATTATAAACCCATAAATTATAAATTAATATTCTAATATTTAAGAAAATTATTTAATATAAAAAACTTAATCCTTCATGGGTTCTTTCAGTAATGCAAAACCTATCCAAGTTTAAACCTATTTAATAGGTTGCGGGCGAGGCTCCTATTCCGGAAGCTGAGCTCGTTCTTAAATTAAACAAACGAAATTTATATATACATAAAATTTACATCCCTCTAAAGAGATTATGGAGTTACTATTGATGCTTTTTTTTCAATATAGTAGGAATCAGAAGTGCAATTAATTCACAAATAATACTATTTTAATTAAGTTAAGGATAAGAATAAAGTTTTGTTAATTGTCATTATACATTTTGCATTTATTATATAAAATTATAAAATTTATTAGATTGTGATATGATAAATTTAATTTCTAAGAATATATACTGAATGACTTAAAATCTGAAATTCCATAAATTGAATAATGCTTTGCCTAATATTTAGATATCTCAGCATACAAAGATATAATAGGATTATTAAGACGGATGTAGTACTGACAGAGTAATAAATTTAGTAAATAAAGTTAAAGCAAAGCTCAAATTAGTAAATAACACACCTGATGCTAGGTAAGATATTGCAGTATTATTAGATTTAATCGTTAATTATAATAATTTAGGATACTTGATACATTTGTTGATACAAAAACCAAACTAAAGAAGATGAATATATTAAATAACAGAGATTTAATAGAATCAGTAAAGAATTATCTAATAAGAAGGAAAATAGCTAGATAATTGGGTTAAGAAGAAGCAGATTTAGAAAAGATTTATGAATAATATGAAGTAAAGTTTGAAACAGAATTTGATAAAGCATTTTTAGATAGTGATTGTTTTCTAGATTTAGGTTTAGTTAAGGCTCCAATTAATAAAACTAAGGTTTTATCTTAAGAGAAATTGTAAGATTTTGGAAAGAGAGCAATTAGTTAATTTTAAACTTCATCTGAATAAATGTCAAGCAGAGATTAAGTAACTAAATCTCAGTATGATTAAAATCAATTTTATTATTATGTTGAAGATCATATAGAATAACTTAAAAAAGAGAAAGAGGAAACAGAGAATTTTATATAGAAATTAGGAAAAACTACAAAAAGTACAACTCATTCAGGCAGAGGAGATGAAAAGCGTAGTACCTTAATTCAATAGTAGAAAATAACTTAGATAGATTATGATAAAGAACTTTTGAAAATAGTTTTGTAATATGGAATTGATTTGAATTCAACTGAGTATTTAGAAGAAGAGATATATTCTGCATTCAAATAGAAAGCTAATGATTTTATTAAGTCAAAAATAAATGAAGCAAAAGTGAGACACAATCATAATATAGAAGAGGATTAATTGAAAAATAAATATTAGATTAGACCTTAAAAGAAAAGGATAAGTTCTATGTTTGAGTAATAATTTTTTAATTTTTCAAAAAATTATCCTCCTTCAAAATCAAGATATCAACCAGAGAGTAAAGAACACACTCTTACATCAGGGGATAGAAAATCATAAATTTTATAGGAGAGAATGGATAATAAAAAAGAAAAGACCTTATTGTTAAGTTAATTTAATTTGAAATCAAAGAGAATTATTAATATGTGTAATAAGGATGAACAAAAATTGTTATATAATGAATTTATAAAGGATATATAATTGATGAATTTATATTTGGATGAAGCTATAACAAGAACCAACTTCAATAGAAAACTTTCATAATTAGGTTTTACAAAAGAAGATTAATTTTTAATAAAAAAATAAATTGTACTTCCAGGAAGTTCTATTAGAAATCACTATGATAACTAATGAACAATAATAATTTGTTAATGTTTTAAATATTAATTTATAAATAAATATAAAATTTTATGAAAAAACATCCAATTGAATAAATACATAGTTCTGTTTATGATAAAGTTGTGAAATCATTAACTATCTTTTTTATGCTCATATCTTTGTTGATCAGCATTGGATTGGATATAGTACATGGTGTAGTTGATTTTTATTCAAATGAAGATTAGTATTAAGCTCAAAATGCTACAATTGGATATATCTCTGATAATCTAATATACAAACCAATTAAATAGTATCAAATACCTAATAATTAGAGTATATTTTAGAGATTTGGATTGTGATTCATCTGAAGAAATTTAATAATTATTTCCATTTGCAGAATATAATATTACTAGATGGTTTTCTTAATTGATTTGTGTAACTAGATTTGTTGACATAAGATTGTCAACTGAATGTTCAGATACTGAATATAATTGTGGTCCTTATTGTATTTAAACAAGCGAAGGCTCTTAGTGTCCTATTTCAAAATTGACAATAATATAAAATGAGATTGTTGATGAAGATGCAGATCAAAATTTGGAGAGTAACAGAGATTTGTATATCTAAAGAGAAAATTCATCTTATGGAATATTTAAAATTCAAGTTGTAATAAGGGGATATCCATGTCTAAATCCTTTAATTTATATTACAGCAGGATTAACCAATAACAGTGAATACATCGATCCTGAAAATTGTGAGGGCTCTGATTTTGACACAGATAATAGTGTGAAAATAGAATAAACAACACTTTCAGAATTTGCTAAGTAAGGCTTAGAAGCATTATCTTTTAATGGTGTTCCTTCATCTGTAACTAATTCAGCAATTACATATTTGACAGCAAGAGTACTTAATATATTTAATAAAGAATAAAATTGCTTCAAAATCTGAAAATAGATGTACATAGATTGATAACAATATGATTAATGAAACTAAGAATTGTGAAGAATCTATAGAAGAAATTGGATTAATTTATGTAGTGATAAAATAAATTTTTACTGGTTTTATAGGAATTATTCTAATAATAGAAATATATATGCTTAAATTCAGGATAGTGAATGATATTCGAATAATTACAGTAATTTTAAAAATTCTACTGATATGCCAAATGTCATTCATATTGATTGAAGGTGGTCTAATATTATATTAGGAAAAGCTCAGAAGTGATGCAGAACTTTATTTTAGATCAATTGCTAATTGTTATACTTCTGACCAAATTTATAATGTATTTGCAAATTTTCCCAACCTCTTCCCAGCAGATGTCAATACTTACATTTCACTTATTACTATTTCGATAATAATTATAGCAATCAGCGAATTCATCTTAATTATGATGTTTATTGTATAGATGTTCCATTGGTGCTTCAAACAAAAGAAAGAAAAATTGTATATACCTGAATCAGATACTTAAAGATAGGCAATTCCTTCAAAAGAAGATATTCATCATTCTGAAACAGGCCCTTACTAAAATCCTTTATCACCTTCATCTAAATTTCCTCCTGTGTATTCAAACATTTAAAATAATATAATTCAAAATCAAAGCAATCCAATTAACTATGTTAATGAATATGTTCTTCCTAATCAATTTGTAGATCCTACATATGTTCCACCGAATTAATTTGAAGAACCTGCATAACCTAAATTTTCAGAAAGCTACATACCTCCTCAAATCAATAACATTTAATCAACTCTGGTAGTGGCAGGAAAAAAGAATTCTAAATATTGATAAATTCATGCTGTATTATATATATATATCTATACTTTATTAAATATTGAGTAATATTATTATATATTTGATAGATGATATTCAACTTTTATTAGATAATATTTAAGTAAAAATAATTTATTGTATAAATCATAATAAATAATATTAATATCTCTATTTATTTGAATAATTTTAATAAAGTAATTTATAAACCTTTAAACATCATGAAACTGATAATCTAATTTATTAAATAAAAAATTTAGACAATCTATTACAGATAATTTTGATCATGAAATGTTAGAAAACATATAAAAATTTGTAATCAGAAAATAATTTGAATTTTAAAGCACTTTTAGATTTAAATATTTAATATAAGTATTATTTATTTAACTATTGAATTGGATTATAATTTATTGCAAATTAGTTCTTTATATTAACTATTGAGTTAGTTATATGAAATAATATAAAAAAATAAAGTTAGACTATAATTAATTTAATCATTTCCAAAGAAATGATAAAAAGTCTGGCATTTCGAATGGTATTAGTTCAGCCCAACTTGAATAAGATCTATCACTATCTTTATATAAAAATGTCATGCTAGAAGTTAGCGAGTTCTATAAGCATCCCTTATCATCTTCAAACAATAGCATGACTAATCCCCAGACTATAGCTGCTTGTAGAGGGAATGCATCCCAGGATTAAGGTAAGAGTTTTCTCCTCTAAATGTTTGAAGCCAAACCTATTATTACTCTACTCATAACATAGAGAACAATTTATTAATTGACAGCAGATTTATTTCTTCCAAAAACGAGATATCCACATATAGCTCCACTTATTAGATTATGAAGCTTAGTCTATTTCTTTCTTATGTTGTTTAGAATACAAACTATTGATTTATAGAGGAATACAAAAATGCCCAGATTTTTTGCATGTTAGTACGTCAACTATATAACAGTGATGAATTTGGATTTAATTGAGCCAGGTCTAAAAAGAAAAGTCATTACTAAAGCATGAAAGAATCTTATCTTTCCTCCATAATATATACCCTGTCTTAAACCAAGGAGAGATGATTTAATACAACTCTCGTGATTGCAAATTTATGACATTATTATATAATAATTATATTATTTATGCAATCAGATATTGTAGTTTATGATCTAACTGTTTCAAAGATATGGTGTACAATGTGTGTGAATAAAATAAAATCTAGCTTTGAAGGTTAGGAAGGTATTAATTATTTCAACAATTTCAAAGGTATTATATATGTTTAAGTTAATGTAATGGCTGAACGAGTAATCATTTCCTTTAATTAATAAATAATGTAATTGGATATTATGTATTATGTAGCTCACTTAATCAAATAAAATTAATATTGGAATAAAATAATTTTTTTATAGTCGGTCAACCAAGATTAATTAATACTGACTCCAATTAATTGAGAAGATGTTAGTTCTTTTTTTCAAATTCATAGTTTCAATTAGATGACTTAAAAGAGATAAAGAACAATCTTCATTAATAGTTTTAAGGTGGACTAATAGAAATTTAATAAGAAAATTTTAAGTATAACATGCAAGTATAATTTTATTAATAAAATTTTTAAAGTTGGGTTAATTAATAACCATATCTTATTAGCCATTGTCAATTTCAGGGTTTTAATTAAAATAAAATATTGAAACCTAAATCAAGGACAAAATTACTATTATAGATGAAAAATAGAAGATTAATTCAGAACGAGAATTCTTTGTTTATAATGCACTTCTTGAAAAATTCAAAAAGAAAAGTGGATATTAGGAAGCAGTTACTTATAGAAAATTCTTATTAGCAATTATTTTAAGTGTACAATTTTTATTATTTTGTTCTATCATGCCTCATATTGATTATTATAATCCTTTTCTATCATATCCTCATGAAGAATCTATTTTTAGTATCTATTTAATATTCATCTTTTTTATGACTACTTTTACTTTAATTTAATTTGGTACTCCTACTTACAAGAATGCATATCATTTATTCATCAAATATAAGTAAATTAATACAACTAAAATTTTAGAATGTTTAATATGGATACATTATTGACATTAGGTTCATTAGCTGCCTATTGTATGAGTTTATTCTTGATTGTTATTTACACTATTGAAGGATAGAATAATGAAGAAGAAACTAAAGATCAAGAAATTTAAATGGAAAGAATAATGAATATTATACATGATTTAGAATCTGCAGGATTAATTCTTACAGTAATTACAATAGGTAAATACTTTGAAGGAAAAGCTAAATAGACAATAATGGAAATGCAAAATTAAATATTTCCTTAAGATTAATTAATAAAGACACCTAATGTTATGAAAGTATAAGTAAAGAATTAAGATTATGATATTAATATTTAAGAGAGTTGTGATATATCTTTATTAGAAAAGGGAGATTTGATAATTCTTGAAAAGGGAATGAAATTATTATTGGATGGTGTTATTGTAAAAGGTACTGTCTAAGTTATTGATTCAATTTGTTATGGATAAGATGACAGATTTTAAGCTTCTATGGGAACTAGATTAAAATCTGGTGCTGATATTTTAGAAGGTTCATGTATATTTTAAGTTGAATAAGTAATTGAGTCTTCAATGTTATTTTAAATAGCAGAATAATTAAATTTAGCATAATCTGAAAGAGAAAGTAATGATATTGGTATTACAGCAATGTTATAATAATTATCTTAGAGATTTGTACTTGGTGTTATTTTTGTAGGTTTGATTGTTTTTTTGATCTGGACATTTTTAATAGGATTTGATATTGTTGAAATTGATGAATATTGTGTTTGGTGTTTTCCTTTTGAAAGGGCTATATCAATTCTTGTAGCATCATGTCCTTGTGCTTTAGGACTTGCAGTACCATCTGTTGTTATCATTACTTTAAATTTGGCTTTGAAATCTGGAATTTTAATAAAAAAAGTATTAAATAATAATAAAATATATAGAATACTATTTTTGAATCTATAAATAAAATAAATTGCATTATATTTGATAAAACAGGAACATTATTTACAAAAGTAGATCAAATTGAATCTTTTACTCTTCTATCTAAGAATGAGACAGAGATTTCTTTAAAGAAATAAGATAAAACTATAGTAAAGGTTAAATAATTCTAGAAATCTTTGGTAATGTCTGATCCTGTAGATACTAAAAGAGATATATAAAATTGTGAAGGTAAAATATAATCAAATTTGAAATTTAATAAAACTTTATCAGCATAAGATTTATGGGCTATTTTAGGTGTTTTAGAAAAAGAATTCAATCATCCTATTGCTACTTTATTATTCAAGGAATCTATTCAAAGATAAATTGGAAGATAGAGTACATTTGTTCTAACAGAACAGGCTAAATTAGAGAAAAATGGAATCATTGGAAATGTTACAAGAACTACTGACAAAATATAATTTAAATGTTTAATTGGAAATTTAATTCATTTAAATGAAAATGGGGCAATATTAGAAGATTATATTATTTAGAAATGTTAATGTTTGGAAAGAAAAGGAAAAACAGTTATTCTTATGACTATTGATGATATACCAGAAATAATATTATGTTTGGATAATAAAACAAATTTAAGACCTGAAGCTAAAGATGTAATTACATATTTAAGAGAGAATTTGAATAAAACTGTTTATATATTGTCTGGTGATTCAAAAAAAACAGTAGAATCAGTAGGAAAATATCTAGGGATTCCATTAAATTATTAATATGCTGAGATAGATGCAGAAGGAAAATAAAAGTTTTTAAAGGAATTAAAAGAAAAAAATTAAGAAGTTATGATGATTGGAGATGGTCTTAATGATGTTCTATCATTATAATAAGCTTCTATTGGTGTTGCTATTAATGCAAAATCAGAATTGAATCTTATGGCTTCTGATGTTATACTCCTTAATGAAAATTTATGGAGTATTGTTTCTCTAATAAATTTAATGAAAACTGCTTTAAAAGTAATCTATATAAATTTGATATGGGCTTTTGCATATAATTTATTGATGGCACGTATGTTTATTTATTATTTTTAGCTATTGCAGCAGGTGTATTCTATGGATAAGGATTTACAATATCTCCTATGATATCTTCTACATCTATGTCTTTATCATCAATTATTGTTGTGCTTATTAGTAATTTCATGAAATTCATTAAATTTGATCCATCATAATCATATAGCATTCCAAGAATACAAAAATACAGATTACATGAAGAATCTAATTTCTCATAAGACTCATATCTTGAAGTAGATAATACATAAGAATCTGCTCGAAAAGTAAATGATAAAAGAAATATAATAAATTGATGATTATATTATGATTTTATTATAAAAGGATTAAATATTGAATAAATAAAATTCATATTTTTATCAACTTTCAGTATTCTATCTTTTAATTCTTTTTGTTTTATTTATATAATTTTTAGGTACAGAATTAAAATTGAATTGATTTAATGTACTTTCTGTATATGGTGTAAACAAATCAAATTCTTAGATTCCTATATTATTTTTAGATGTATCAGTTTCTGATTAAGAATTCTTCTTTGCACTAGCACTTCTTATTTTAGTTCTTCTTGATTAAATTGGAACTTTTGTATAACTTACAACAAATTAACTTAATTCATCAACTGAAGGTTAAGTAATCTTTTTAACACTATGAAAATCAAATTTACATTTTTATGGAGATTCATAAAAAATATTTGTTTCATTATTTACCTTCTTAGTTGATTAAGCATTACGTAATAATATTTAATTTAAATTCTCTGTTTTTTCAGTCTAAATATTTAAATTTTATTAAATTGCATTTTCATAACTGAATCTTAATTATTCTGTTTATTAATTTAATAAATGAACAGTTTATCTAGCATTTGATAATTCCTTTTATGCTTCTTCACTATATAATTTAAATCTTTTTAAATCTTATACTTCTCTTCTATATTTAAAAAGATATCCTTTTTATGATCCTATTCTTTATTCTGATTATTATAAATCAGTTAATCTTTATTAATGAGTTGATTTCCAATATCTTACTTAATCAGTTAAATCATTATTTCTTTGATTTTACATTTCATATAAATCTCTATATTTATCTAATTATTATTATAATTAATTATTTAATTCAATAAGATCTTTATTTTCTTTTATTAAATTCTATTCTTTTTGTTTTAACTGATTAATTTCATTTTCATATTTTTCTTTTGCCTCTTCATATTATTATTCAAGTTTTTTCATTCTTTTATTTAGTTCTTCATTATTCTGTTTCAATTCATTACAATATTAATTAAGATGTTTAAGGTTTTCTTTTAACTTATTATTTTCAGTCTCTAAATTTTATAGAGTTGTCTCTAATTATTTATTTAAATTAAGAAAAGTGTTTTAAGCTGTAAATTCTGTTCTTATTTAAATCAATTCCTATTCCTATAACTATTAATTCATTTCTGAATTTTTTAATTTGAGTTCCTTCTCTTATAATGCTGCTTTAGCACTTTTCCATTCTAACCATAATTTTAAATATTCATTCTTAAATAAGTTTCCTAATTAGTCTGCAATTTATTCTAAAATCTCTTTTAGTAGTCTTTTGAATCTAAAGTTTACATTCTAAATTTCTACAAAATTAGCTGCTCTAATTGCTTCAATCACTTTCTCTTAACTTGTAATTTATGCCTTAACTCAATTGATTATAATGTTATACATTCAATCATTTCTTTTGCTCCTTTTTATACTTGGGCTTTTTCACATTATTATAAACTATCTTAAGTTAAATTTTAAAATAATGAATAATAAGTATTGGGATCAAATAAACGTTTAGATTTTCCATTTATTTCTTTGTCAATCACTTTTTTTATAGATTGTTCATCTTATTTATAATCTAACAAATTATTTTGCATTTAATTATTAATAATTAAAGTACATATAATCAAATAAAATAATATTTATTTTTATATTGATTGTAATTATTATTCAAACCTAACCTGAATTTATTTATTCACTCTATGTATAAGAAATGGTTTTCATCTTCAAAATAATGTCTTTTTAATCTTTCTTATATTTCTATTATTCTATTATTTATTAAAGTCTATTAATTATTGAATCT